AGACCTGGACACAGCATTCCAGCAGTGGTCACACCAGTGCCAAATACAGAGGTAAAATAATCTCTATACCTACTCGAGATTCCTCTGATGATGCATCCCAAGATTGCATTAGCCCTTTTGGCCCCAGTGTAGAACAGGGAACTCATGTTCAGCGGATGAGCCCCAAATCTTTTTCAGAGTCACTGCTTCCCAAGATAGAGTCCCCTATCCTGTAAGTATGGCTTATGTTCTTTGTTCTTTGTATACATCTATGTGTATGTATAGAATACCATTTTCTAAGATATACTGAAAAAGTATCTTGCCCGGTGGGGAAAAAAAAGGAAACGATTAAAAAAAACAAAAACGTAATGATTGGCTTGTCTCACAAACTGACACAACAATCTGGATACGCCATTATCTCTTTTTATTAGGCCCTTATGCTTCTGTATTATAAGTTGCATATTAAAGTAACATGCAAATGACTAGATATTTCAGAGACAGCATGGGCAGGATTTTGCTTTTCTCACTGTCATTAGTTTTTAATCATGTTTACTCAGACTGCAATCATCCCTGCTAAAATATGGAATAACTAAGGACTTGTCTACACAAACAATTAGACCATCATGGCAAACTTGGGTGTCAATCTACCCAGCACTAGCCTGCCCTGGATTAACTGTCCTTTTGCACCCTGCTGACGTGCATTAATAGTTTGTGAGAGTGCTTTAATTTAGTCCTCTTTGAACCAGGAGTAGCTCAAAGTGCATTAACAAACTGTTAACTCATGACAGCAGGGTGGACAGGAACAGTTAGACTGTGGCAGGCTAGTGCGGGGTAGATTCACACCCCAGTTTGCCGTGGTCTAATTGTGTAGACAAGCCCTAAGTATTGTCTTTGGCAATATTCTGCCTTGATTAGAATCTCTTTTGTAAAATGCAGACGTAATTTTAAATATATAAATGGAAACATTAAAATTTCCATGTTAATCTATTTCCAAAGCCAATTTTTATTTGGCATTTGTTTTTAAAATAATCATTTTACTTCTTCATTCTCCCCTCTCTTCACTACACTTCTCCAAGAAATGAAATATTCCCTTCATACCCAGACCTATCAATGCTTAGAAAGAACACTTACTAATAAGGCCCTGAACATACAAAGTACTTACATATGTGTGTAACTTCAAAGGCACTATTTGTGCTCACACTTACTCACATGCTTACGGGCTTTCTTGGGCTGGGACTATAAAGAGTCTATAGCTCTAGCTATTATACCTTGATTTATTAATACTTCAAGTACGTAAGTTCAGCCCAAATAAATCGTTTTGAAAAAAAGCTTCTTGCCCAGCCTTATTATGATGAAGGTGATAAAAAAATTAATATTATTTCACACAAAAAGTCAAACCAAAAATATTACTCATCCCAAGTGGGTGAGTAAATAATTCAAGTTCTGTAAAGTTGCTTTAGTATTAACTAGCACAGAGTAAAGCAACACTACAGCTATAACACCAAATGATCTAAACCCATCCTTATACTTTCTCTTCCTAGTTTTTTTAACCCATTACCTCCTTCTGTTCACTGTAATTCTCCCTCTGAAAGGCTGTACATTTTTGAGTAAAATATGAATGCAAGAGAGCTGGGTTCCCTTTTAATGCTCACTTATTAAAAATAGCTAGAATCCATACAATCAAGTGCCTCATCTTCCCAGCCACCAGCATTTCCAACAGGAAAGAAATCAAAGGTCATATCACTATAGGACTGACTACAAGCTGTCACATTTTTAAATCCAAACTCTGTGCAGGTTCAATGATTTTAGATGGGTGGAAGTCTACTGCAATATGTTCCTTGGAGAAAAAGAAGAGAAACGTTTATAATTTAGGCCCTGATCCTGCAAAGACTTATGCAGCTGCCTAACCTTACGCACTGAGAGTAGTCCTAGTGTGACATCAATGGTGCATTCAGTTAAGCACGTGTGTAAGTCTTTGCATCACTGGGGCCTAAAGGGCTTGTTATAACAATTTATTAAGTGCTGTAGATAAGCACTGTAGGCTATGCTAACAGTATAGGGCAGGGATCGGCAACCTTTGGCACGTGGCCCGTCAGGGAAAGCCGCTGGCAGGCCGGGCTGGTTTGTTTACCTGCAGTGTCCGTAGGTTCGGCCGATCGCAGCTCCCACTGGCCTTGGTTCGCTGTTCCAGGACAATGAGGGCTGCGGGATGCGGCGTGGGCCGAGGGATGTGTTGGCTGCTGCTTCCCGCAGCCCCCATTGGCCTGGAATGGCGAACCGCAGCCAGTGGGAGCTGCGATTGGCCAAACCTGCGGATGCTGCAGGTAAACAAACCATCTACGCCCACCAGCCGATTTCCTGATGGGTAGGGTTACCATATTTCAGCAAGCAAAAAAGAGGACGGGAGGAGCCCCGCCCTAGCCCCGTCCCT